TTTATTTTTTCCAAAGAGATACTTCAGTACTTTTTCTGTTTACCTCCCATTACGTGTGGGTTCTCACCCAGCAGCTGCAGTGACATTTTCTTTATAACATTATCTTTAAAACTCAACTTCTTCACCAAATAATAAAACTTAGCATGTTAATTAACAGTCCTCAGGAACCTGAGAGAACCATTTCAAGATGTCTCTAATCTCAGTGGGATTTCAGTCTCTTCTCAGGTCTGTGCAAAGCTTTTTATTTGTACCACTCTCAGCTGAACAGCAAAACTGCACGGATGGTACAGAAGTAATGCAATAAGCAGCAGTAATTGGATTAATAACCCATTAGCACAAATTTAAAGTCTCAGTGGTTATTCCTAGGAGAATAGGAATTCTTCCTATTAGTACATGAACACTGGCCCCAAGAAACAAGAAAATTCTTTTTGCAGATGAGTGATGTTTTGTTCTCATTCCTACAGGCAACACTCACCAGCAAGGGAACTAGTTACCAACTCCATTTCTGAGCATAACTGCACCATGTATTAACCCTGGAGGAGGCAGCACAGGAGGTGCTACAGCTGCTTTACAAACAGTGTCAGACACTGGTGAACAAAGAAATCAGGTTGGTCTGAGCTGTTTTAATGCCTGCACGGGCCTTTTAGTTCCCCATATAAAAATGAACACTTATTAGGTTTTTACCACCCTGCTTTCAACTACTTTTTTTTTTTCCTTAAACCAGAGAAGCCATAGTTTCTTCCCTTTCACCCTTCCTGCTTAGAAGTTGCCCAGCAAAATCTCACAGACTATTTCAAGAATTTAAGGGGACACTGCTGTTGCTGGCTTGTTTTTACCTGCTGCTGCAGAGCTGTGCTGGTTGGGAACTGCCAGCAATGACCTTGCTGAAGCCTTGTTACAGAATTTAGGTATTGGCACAGCACTGGCTGAATGTGGAGAGATCAGTAATTATCCCTCATGGTCACTGGGGAAAACACAGACCTTTGGTTCCCTCCAATCAGGAAAGATTCACAACCAAACCTCAGCAGCTGGTGTTCTTCTTGGGTCTAAAAACAAAAGTGCCAGGTATTCAGGAGTAAGGGAACTGGTTAAGTCACATGCCTCCCCCATTTAACACATCATAATGCCATAATATCAGGAACCCTACAGCAAGCAGGAGGAATCAGAAAGCTGAGAGCTGAAGCAGTGCAGATCTTGAGTTGTTTTTTATCAGAAATCCTTGAATCTCCCCCTGTGGTAATAAGATAAACAGCTACTAAACTACAGCATTGGGTAAGGGGAGGGGAAAAAGTACTTTTCTAAGTAAAAGATGCAGACTGCTAAAGCTTTTTCAGTAGTTTTGAACCAGTCTTGTCCATAGAGGTGTGTATGTGGCTACCAGCAGCCTCGTGGACACCATCAAGCCTTAGTTTTCAAAGTTCCTCAGTCTTCTTGAGGGTGTGATTGTTGCAACACTTACTAGGAAATCCTCTTAAAACTCAAAAATAACAATTCCCACGTCTTGTGTGGAGCATTCCAGTGATACCCCCAACAAGTTCAGTGCTATTCTCAGAGGCAGCACGGGCAGTTATGCAGCAGCAGAAGGGATTAGCCATGTCCTTGCTTGTCCTCAGCCCCATTGTGCATTAGGATTTGGGCAGCAGCGCTGGTGGCAGCCGTCCAGGCCCTGCTGTTTGGCAGGGCAGCGAGGCGGAGCTGCTGCCCAAGGGAAGTGCCACAAACGCGATCCAAAGGTGCCATCTAGTGCCTGCTCGGGACCACAGGGAAACAGCCCGAGCCGCAGGGACAGCAACAAAGGGAATTTCTTGCAACGTGCAATTGGATTCAGGGACAACTGGTTCAGTTGTTTTATCATCCTTTTTAAGAATTACAGTGCTGTAGTGCAAGGATATATTTGCAATACAAATAGAATACATATATAATAAACCAGCTGTAATGGAGCAGCTGGAGCTGAGAGGATTCTCCAGGGAAAGCATCACATTCTTCACAGAGAACGTGACTGACTGCCTGCCAACACTTGGCTTAACATGTCCACTTCTAACCACCGGCCTGAAGATCTTCACCAGTGCCATACTGGGCTCCTCATCATCCTCCAGTCACCACTTCCAGTCCCTCTCCGAGGGATCCTGCAGGGAGGCAATGCTTGGAAAACACTGTGAGCACCAGGCAATCCTTACAGAGGACCCTGTAAGGGCTGAAGAGGAACGTCAAGTCCTGCTGGCGTGAAGGGCAACAACTAAAAGAGAGATAAGACAGTGTAACCATTCCAAGTGTCCTAGCACAAGGAAACTTGAGCCAACCACAGCTATCAAGCTAGGCTAAAAAAAAGCCAATGTACACACTGCTGAAGGACTAATTTGTTTCCAAAAATTTATTGAAATGTAAAATACTTAATACAAAACCATATTTGGTACCTCCTTGGAAGTGGAGCTCACCTCTCAGGCATAAAAAAAAAGACCAGCAGGATACACACAAACCAGGACATTGCTTGT